AGTGTGACATCATTTCAAATATTTAAGCACCCTCCTCTCCGTTTTTTTTTCCCTCCAAGTTAAACATACCCAATTCCCTCAGCTGTTTCCCCTAGGGATTGGTTTCCAAACCTTTGGTCATTTTAGACACTTTTCTCTGGATACAATCTAGCTTCCCTCTACCCTTGATTACTTCAGTGCAAGACTTTGCGTAAAACAGTGTTATATGAAAGTAATGTTTCTCTTTAAACAATACAGTTTTTAACTAAAAGACTTAAAATAAAGCAATAACACTGGTCCAAATTTTAGAAAAAACAACATAAACTTTTCTTGGTCACGCAAAAAGTGGTACATGGCAAGCACAGTTAAAGAATGAACCTAGGCTCATCTAATCTTCTCAAATACAGAGGAACCTTCTAGGCCTCCAGAAATATTCTAGGGCTGATCTGCAGACACAAGGAGCCCTCCAGTCTAAAACAAGTCTCTTCATAGAACAGCCCTATATACCTAAAATGACCTTGACGCAGATAAGACAGAAACCCTGTTAGATACTTTTAGCTCTCCAGCTAAAGCAGGACTTCTGAGGATGGCTAAGATGTGTTTTTGAGATAAAAGATAGCTTCCTTTCACTACAGATAAAATCAGCAGGCTCACTTTTTGAAGTGAGAAAAGCCACGCAACTAAACATACATTCTTATATTTCCAGTTTAGCCAGAGCTCTCCTTATTCCACTTCTCAAACACATATGTTTCTTTCCTCAAAAAACATTTATAATTCTCAACTTACTTCTCCAAGCCTCACTGATGTCCTGGATGACAAAAAAAAAAATCCATACATTAAACAGATATAGGGGTTAGGTGTGGAAGTGAGGAAATAATTTATCATTGTACTTTAAAGAGCCAGAGAAGTAAGGTTGTGATACTATTCACACTTAGATAAGAGCTGTATTTATCACCGGGAGTGTGGCGCAGCTGGCTGAGTGTCAGCTGCATTAAGATCACTCTGACCAAAAGGTCATGAGTTCGAAGCCAGTCTGGGTTGGAGTGGGTTTCCAACCAATTGTGTAGCCCGTTGTCGACCTTTGCAACCTGAAAGACAGTTGCATTTGTCAAGTAGGAAAATAAGGTACCACCTTAAAGTGTGGGGAGGCTAAATTAACTAATTTATGAGGCCATGAAGACTTCAGCAAAAAGCATGCGGGAATGCGGAAGTACTTCATCAGTGTCGCAGATGGACGATGAAAGCGACAGCTCCCCTGGCGGCCAGAAAAAGTTAAATAGCCTCTGTCTATGTCTGTATATGTTGTATGTCAAAATTGGCATTGAATGTTATGTGTACACTGTAATCCGCCCTGAGTCCCCTGTGGGGTGAGAAGGGCGGAATATAAAAGCTGTAAATAAATAAATAAATAAATAAATAAATATACTGAGTTTCCTGGGAGGAAAGGTACCATATATATGCGAGTATAAGCTGATCCTAACAAAAAAACTGGGAAAACCTATTGACTTGAGAATAAGCCGAGGGTGGGAAATGCAGTAGCGACTGGTAAATTTCAAAATAAAAATAGATACCAATAAAATTATATTAATTGAGGCATCAATAGGTTAAATGTTTTTTTAATATTTACATAAAACTGTAATTTAAGATAAGACTGTCCAACTCTGATTAAACTATTATTCTAACCTTCTTCAGTGTAAATGTGCTTACGTATCCTTCCAATAATGAGAGTAAAATAATAAATTATTTAAAATAATAATAATGTAATGAAATGTAATCGTAACACAAATAATAGAGTAAAATAATAAATGTAATAATAATAATAATAATAATAATAATAATAATAATAATAATAATAGAGCAAAATAATACATGTAGTAAAAATAATAATAACAGAGTAAAATAATAAATAACTTTGACTTGAGTATAAGCCGAGGGGGACTTTTCCAGCCTAAAAAGGGGGCTAAAAAACTCGGCTTAAACTTGAGTATACATAGTAAGACCTGAGGAGAACTTACATCTCTATACAGTTGTATTAGATTGCACTGACATGCCCGTTTGGGGATTAGTTTTGAGTGGATACATACAATGGGTATGACTTTTGAGTAGATACATGCTGGATATCAAACCGTTACTTGTTACATACTACCAGGAAACATTTTAGCAACCCTTCCTAAAATATTTCCTGTGAAGGTCTTGCTTGCCTCCTCAGCCTTCAACCCTAAATGCAACAAGATCTGTGGACATGCAAAATAAACTTCCTGTATTATGAAACAGAGGGCATGTTTGTCATATTTGTAGATGACCAAATTTGCTAATACCCAGGCCAGGATCAGAATCCAAAATGACAGATTAGAGAGCTGGGCCAAAACAACAAAATATTTTCAACAGAGAGAAATGTAAGGTACTAAACACAGGCAGAGAAAATGAAACGTGTTGATATAGGATGAGTGGCACCTGGCTTGAAAATAATACATTTGAAAGGAATTTAGGTGATCACAAGCTGAATATGCATCAACAGTATGATGTGCCAGCTGAAGAAAAAAACAAACAATGCAATTCTAGACTGCATCAATAAGGGGATAGTGACTAGAGATCAAGGACCATAACAGTCCTACTCTGCAGGCAGTACCCAAGTTATGAACAAAATAGGTTCTGTATGTTTGTTCTTAAGTTGAATTTGTTTGTATATTGGAACAGGTACATTTTTAAGTGTAGCTCCAGGCAAATATTCTTTAGATTTGGATAACATAGGGAAAGGTTAAAACCCCTAGTGGTGTTTGTTGTGTGGTCTGTGCCCAATTAGAAGATTTCACCTCACTTTCTGTCCCTGTGATAATACGATTTTGAAACATTCGCCTTCTTGAGGAAACAAGGATTGGTGATAAAGCTTCAGTGGAGACACTCTTTCTGCATGATAACTCTTTCAAGGAGTGTATATCCCTTCCTAGAGGTAGATTTCTCTCACTTCCTGTTGTGTCACCCCCATTTATAAGCGGGAGTCATTTGTAAGTCAGATGTTTATAACTCGGGACCTGCCTGTATAAGAAATAATGGGATTCTATTCCTATACCATATAAGAATCTTTTTCACATGAATTTCATAGAATCATGGAGTTGGAAGAGATCTCATAAGCCATCAGGTCCAACACCCAGACAACCCCCATACTCCTATGGTAAGAGGGACTTCCTTTATCTATATTGTTACTTGTATTGATCCATAAAATCAATAAACAGGAAGGTGTCCACAAGGGCTGAAAATGCAAGCGAAGGCCTTCTTGGTGGCTACCCCTTGTCCCTGAAACTCCCTGCCTAGAGAGACCGGAATGCCCCTCTCCCTGCTGTTCTCGGATGGCAGACTAAAACCTTTTTATACAGATATGCTTTTAAAGAAAAAAAGTTTTTAAGACCAAACCAGGGGATGTTGTATTTTAGATATATTACTAGGTTTTAAATTGTTAATTGTTTTAACTGTTTATTTGTAATAGTTTTGACATTTAATCCTAATCAAGTGTTTGTATATTGTTTACATTTTAAACTGTATATGGCATTGTTTTTAGTGTCCCTAGATATTTTGGGTTTCTTTTTAGAGAGTAAAGCAGGATATAATAACAATAATAACAACAATAATATTTGTATGTGCATAACAAAAATCCACTAACCCACCCATGCTTAGTAAAGCAGAAAACTTTCTGCCAGCAAGGCCCTGTTCCTTTTGTGATAAGAGCATTTGTGCAACTGTTTTGTGTGATGGGACATTGGTGGATTTTTGATGGCAAAGTTCCGTCACTGGGTTGTTTTGTCAAAAAAATGTTCACAGCATCATTGAGATGTGACAGCAAGGCGACCCAAGCTGTTTCTATCTCATAACCCGGCCTGAAAAGAAGTTGACAGGGATCAAGATAATCAGTTTCATCCATGAATCTCTGGAAGAGAGAGGCAACCCCATGCTTACCCAGAAATGGACTATGGGACATTTCGGGGTTGATGGTTATCCTGTACAGAGGCATCCAAAAAAGGCTTTTTTCAACAATGGTCTTACAACTGCCTCCTTTAGCCATGTTAAAAACCCTTCTTGTACAAGGCACTGATTACTTCCTTCATCCTCTTGACCAATTCCTCATAGTCATTTTAATGCCCCAAGAAGGGCAAGGATTAATGCGGTGGGGCTGACCTCAACAAGATCCTGTCCACATCCTCAGACTGCTGAAATCCATTGTTACTGAACAAACAGGGGCAAGGTTACATCCTTTGGGACTGTACTGACTATGGCATTCAAGTGAGAATTTGTCTAAGAGACTGCATCTGCAATGTGCCATGGGATTTCTTCACAGTGGGATGTTGAGCCATCTCAATTTTTTTTTTTGAGGGCCAGAATGAAATGGGTCCCTGGCCGCTCAGAACAGCTCTGTTAGATGGCTTTTTGCAGCTGCAATAGTGGCAGAAAAGAATAATTTTCTGCCATGGAGTAAGCCTTCAGGTAAGCTCTAGCTTGCATTGGGTCAGATTTACTTCTGGTCTTCCATCAATATCTCTAGTTTGAGTTTCACTCATTTCATTAGCAGTCTGACTCATAGAAATCCTATCACAGTGTTTTCTTGCAAGATTTATTTACAGAAGGTTTGTATTTGCCTTCCTCTGATCAGTGGGGTTTCCATGGCTGGAGGGGGCATCCTAGTCTGGAAGTTGAAGCAATATGCCATGCATGAGCCTCTCATAACACTCTGTACATCGAGTAGTACTATCACATGATTTAAAAACTCATTGGGAAATTCCAATTCTTTTCTCTATACCGCATATTTTATGCATTTACTTTTCCTTCATGGAACCAATTCAATGCAAAATAACAATGACTGGATCGTCCTTTAAATTAAAAAAAAGGTTTGTTATCTTTAAGAGAGAAAAACAGAAAAAATAGGCTTCTGTCAGAATTGAAGATTAACACAGATTTTTAAGTATCTTTTACATATTTCAGCAGTACCTTGTAAATGCAAGTAGCAAAATTATCTAGAGCAGTACTCTTACCGAAAACTCTCTCATGTCTAGAATTCTGCTGTCCTCCTGTGCTGGCTGAAAGATCTTCTGGTATAGGCATGGGCTCATCAGCGTCATCTGGGACATCACTTATGGAAGGACTTTCTTTTCCTGGTAATACAGCAAGTTGCACTAGTAAATTTAATAGAAAATGCGACTGAAGGGACTGAAGGGCCAACCAAGGAGAACAAAGTGGCTGCAAGGAGTCTACCTGACACAACAGATTGACAGTTGGACCTTAAAGCACCCATGTCAAACACAAGGCCAGGGGTTTCAATTGAACTCATCACATCATTTTATGTGATCCGCCAGGACAACATAGTTACATTTATACAGCCTTGCAATTACAACTGACCCTTTGAAGGCAACCATAAGGGTGATGTGGTTCCTGGTGAAAATAACTTTGATGCCCCTGACATGAAGTATTGCTCAGTCTCAGTCAGACTATCTAAAAAAACAAACAAACTAACTAATGGATGGGGTGGGAATGTGTACATGTATGCGTGTAGGTTTGAAAATGATTTCAAGTACAGTATAACATGCAAAAGCACTCCTTTTTCATTGATTAAACCCAATAAGAAATTGAAAAGAATAGGGGGGGAAAAGATTAGGGAAATCATATTCAAATCTGTTTTCTAGGCCTTCTTCATTGTACTACTATATACGGTTCAGTTCAATTCATGTCAATCCTTCTTCATCTCTATTTAACACGGTTATGGTTTGCTTCATAAAATATTGCTTTCAAGAAAGGGAAAGAAGTGTGAACTTTTGAGTTGATCATGCAGGCCTAGGGAATTCCTTCAGGAGATAGCAATGGCCGTATTCCAAGAAGTAGGAACAGATGTGCCATTCTGATCTTACTTACATTGGTTGGCTTGTTTTATCTCCTATATCTGCCTTAAGAGTTTATACTGTATTGTGCTGGATTATTTCCCACAGTTCTAAACCTTATTTTAATGCCCTGCAAGTACTACCAAAACATAATTGAATGGGACTCACAGTGGCCTCACCTACACTGCCATATAATGCAATTTCAAACTGAATTATATCCTTTATTATATGAGTCTACGCTCACCATATAAAAAAGTTTCAAATTACACTAGATGGTAGTTTACATGTGGCTTAACTTATAATATGATATGATCTCTTATCACTTAGAAGTTTAAATATTTATTTATATGTTTTTAACAGATCAAAATAGTAAGGAGGCTTACCCTTCATTTGGGGGGGGGGGTGCCCAGAAAGGGTAGGGAGACTGCGCCCATGCCCAGCCATGCCCAACTGACCTAGCTGGGCTGTGTGGCCAGTCTCTCACTGCTGCAGTCCAGAACCGGCATTTTGTGCCATTGTAGAAATGCCCATATTCACACACACAAATAAGTAAATCTATCTCTTTTCTATTGAGAATCATAATATAACTAAGATATAATCCCATTGTTTGAAAATACATTAATTACAAGCAATTCATAATAATTAGTAACTTCCAAGTTCTGCACTGTGGCAAGCTGAAAATAGATACAGGCTTCTTAATGACAATTGAAAATCAGTGAATACTCTCTAGCCATGTGAATCCTGACTTGATTTGTGCCCAGGAGGCAAAAATATATTTAAAATCCACCACTTTGCTCCAAGATGGTGACTGTTATTGTTAGCTTCAAAAACGGTGATTTTTTTTATATTTTCAGACTGGTTGGAGGTATGCTGAAAACTGGGAAACGGGGCAACTATTCTCTTGTTGCATTGACTTGTTGCATGGAAAAAGCACTAACACTGGAGATGTTGTTTATGTCTTTGCAATTGATAAGCAAGGACATATATTTTGCATTCCCTGTGTGTTAAACTTCACAAACAAAGAAGACTTGTTTTCCCCAGTGATGTTTTGTACAAGATATAGAAAACATGATGAAATATTAGTTGTTATGTCAATCAGAAGCCAAGATAATCATTGGGACTTTCTTGCCATACTGATATGGCCTGCCTTGCTCAACTTATCAGAAACAACTAAAACAACAACAACAACCAAAACAGCTGCTTTGAGTCTCCTTGTGGAGAGAAAAAGCGGGGCATAAATAAACCTAGCAATAATAATAATAATAATAATAATAATAATAAACACCCAGCTTGCTAAAGTCTTGCACGTGCAAACTCCCATTCCACCCTAATCTCCACCTCCTTTTTGTACAGGTGTCTCTGCAGGAAACCACAAGCAAGAGGAAATACTGCCGAACTATAGAGCGTATAAGTTAACACGCTACTTTATCTTCTCCCCTGCTTGTTTCAACTGGGATTTGCCATTAACCTAGACATATGCTTTCAAGTCTCACACAAAAGTTTTCTTTCCCTCAATTCATTCCATATTTGAAATAAGATAGTCTTATATGACACAATCCAAGTGAAGGTCATTAGTCACACACGTTCCAAGCAAACAATAAACAAATTTGTGCAACTCCAAATTAAAAAGGAAAACTTGAGCCAAATTTACAAAACTTAATGGGTAAAAAGTTAGTAAGGAGTGTGCAGATATGAATACCGACCGGTATTTGCACTTTGAGATTTAAAAAGAAAGATTACATTACTATTCACATCAGTATTCCCTAAATGGGGAAAACAGGAGTTCTTCTGCAAGCATCCAAAGAGCTAAGTAACTTGGGACTACGATATCTAACATGCTATCTTCTCCTATATGTATAGATCTTACAAGAGACCTTACATAAGGTTTTGTTGGTCTCACAACAGTTTAACAGAATGTCACCGTGAAACTTCATGGAAGGGAAACTTCTCTGTGGTGTTGACAAGGTCTGACATTTTGAAATGTTAAATACTTTATTACAGATTGGTACTTAGTCTGGTGTTTTTGAACTGTCTAAACTGGTATTTTAATTGTGTAATTGGTTGATTTTTTATTTCAAAATATATAATTTATTGTGTTTTCATTGTCATCTTTCAAATTATATTAAAAAACAACCTTGGAGAAAGGTGTAATATAAATAAAATAAAAACAAAAATAAAGAAGTTATAAACAAACAGGTATTGCCACTAAGAAAAATAGTCCTTTAAAATAATAAGAACAAAATTGTCATAAATGTATATCAGTGGTTCTTTACCTATGGGCTATGGACCATGAGTGGGCCAAGAGGACAAAAATTGGGTCCATGAGCCTCCTTCCTCTTTATTTATTTTATTTTATTTTATTTCTGCTCCTTTCGAACTGCCTGCCACTCCTTCCCTTTTGCTGACCATGACATATGTTCTGTATCAGAAACTAGAGCTAATATGGTCTATCAAATGCAATTTTCTGAATCGGCACCCCAAACCAAATCTAAAGTTGACCAAAAACTGATTCGTAACCCTTTTGGTACTAATGTTGGAGAGTGGTCTTGGTCAAAGTGGTCCCTGGTCAAAAAAAAGGTTGGGAACCACTGATGTAGACAGTTACATAAGCAAACCTACACTGCAGCTCCAACTTGGAGAGAATTAGGTTTTGAAATAATTTAAATGTAACTTAGTTATTAGACAAAGAGATCATCTAGCACCTTTGGGAAAAACTGGGAGAACAAAGTTGGTAGAATAAACTTGAATAGACTCAAGTCTACTTCATGCTTAGGATGATACTTTTTCTGTATAATCAAGCTGTATTTGAAACAAAAAACTTGTTGATATGGTGATGGGATGTTAGGTTTAGTTTTAACAATTGTCATTTTTTGTTTGAAGATTCCTTTTCCTGCCTCTCCTGAGTTTTTTTAAGAGCCTGAGAAGTTCGTTTTTAGTAGTTATTCATTCTCTTCCATGTTAAAGTGTTTGTTTTTGTTTTTTTAATGGATGCTGTAATTTCTTACATTACTTCTTACTGTTCTAAAGTTTGAGAAAGAATGCCCAGGAAGACTGAAGTGTTCTATCCTGATTTGTGTGTACTGTATTCCCATTTCTAATGTCTGATTTATGCCCGTTTATATTCGTACAGAAAATGACTGTATGTTAAAAAGCCATTATTCTAGATCAGCTATGAAGATATTGGCATATTGTAGCACCATACATGTGCTCATGATTGTACCATTAACCTGAAGGTATATGTCATTACAAAAAATGAAGTACCATATATATAACTAGACCACATTTATAAGTTGAGGACACATTTAGGGGCTGAGTATATAAATTTCAACATGATGCATGGATAAGTTGAAGGTCATTCCACAGAGGGGAAAGCGCCAACACCATCCCATGGCCAGCTGCTCCTGGCCACCACCACCATTTCTCCATCCAGTCATTCAAAAAGGCCAGAAGTAGTGCCACAGAAGACAGAGTAGATAGAGTTCTTTTTGGTTCTTTCAGGATGGGTTAAGCTCTTGCTTGAAGGGAATGGTCTATTTTCTAATGAGTGTTAATGTACAGCACTCACACTGACCCTTGGATAACTCGATCCTGTTTTTTGTTGTTGATTTTTTACTACAATTTCTAGACTTGTATATATAGAGAAGTTGTGTGAATATATAGAGTAGTTGTGTGAGAAATCTTGGTGGCTAAGTCTGTTATAATGCCAACTAGAACTATGTTATTGACAGCTAATAGTCCATCCTTGTATGGAATGTTGATATATAAGGAGTCCACATATATATATATATAAGGATTTAGTTAGTAGATCATATGTGTTATTACAGACTGAAGAAGGGAAAACTAGTAGCTACCTCACCAGACGGACTACTTGGCCCATGATGCACTGCTCTCCCCCCCCCCATTTCAGGGCGGAGCCCACTACACAACAGACATGCACTTTTAGACGGGCTCCATCTAGAAAAGGGAGAGCAAATGGCATATTCCACCACAGTGGCAACATGCTATCTTCTCCTATATGTATAGATTTTATAAGAGACCTTACTCATGGTTTTGTTGGTCTCACAACAGTTAACAGAATGTCACCATGAAACTTCATGGAAGGGGGTCTTCTCTGTGGTGTTGACAAGGTCTGACATTTTGAAATGTTAAATACTTTATTACAGATAGGTACTTAGTCTGGTGTTTTTGAACTTCCTTGTTTTCTTATCAGCTATGGGGAGAAGCCAGGCGGCGACACTTTCCCCATGGGATGGGTAAGTCGTACAATGCGGGAGTCAATGGGCTCTCTACGCTTCCCACTAGGAGCCCATGGATTTGCCACGATGCATGGTGAATCCATGGACCTTGTTGATGAGGTCCATAGTCTCAAACTTTTGAGTTTGTAAACTTTTATTAAGATAGTTATCTACTCAATGTACATTCTAGAATGGAAAAGTATGGTTAAGGTCATCTTGTTTTGGGAGGCCCACAACTTTTCTGATGCTATCCCACACCATGCAGGAATCTCAAGGAAGGAGCTTTGATTGCTCTACAGCCCATGCTACCCTGCATCGTATTCTGGTTCACCATAAGAGCATTTATATCCTCAAGGATCCATAACTGGATTTTTTTCTCAGCATTATTTCCAGGAAATAGGAAAAGCCAAGGTTGTAATATTCAGTGACATTAAAACTGAAGTAGCACTTTCAAATTTCTTTCCTTAAATTGAAAAGAGAGGAACCTTTAAAAATACTAATAAGCCACCAGGTAAAACCAGAAAGCAACCATGTTCACACCCTAGTGTATATTTGCTATGATTCCCAATGTTGAGGTCTCCAAAAAATGGTCCCAGATTTAAATCTGGCACTGAATCTCGAATGTGCACCACAGATGGAAATACTGCTTTTCTGTTGTTGTTGTTGCTGTTGTTGTTGTTAAAGTTTCTTTTTAAAAAAATCCAAGTGGTATTAGGTTTGATGTTGAGAGATAAACATTAATTATATCATGATTTTCAATCTGGCAATACAAAGGGCCCAAAGTAATTATGTAAGAGATAATAGGAAAATTGCTGTGTCCTGATTGAAAAACCAAATGGATTTCAGATTGGAGGGGCTTTCTGCTCTCCCTTCTAAGTCATATTCTTTAGTGATCATACCTGAAACTTGGGATATATCTTGTGCCCCATCTGTTTCCATTTTCCTCAGGTTACCTAAAAGAAAGAGAATCAGAAAAGGCCTTAGGTTTAATGAAAAGTACAAATTCACAGGAGAGATGGAAAGAAGGGAGGGAGAGAGTGGAATAAAACTTTGCTATTTAACTATGAGATTATCTAGCAAGACTGATGTGTTTTTTTCTTTCTTTCCCATCCTGCATGCTTGAGGAGGTATCAGGCTGGCACAGACCTTGATCCTTTTAAAAAGAGCATTACAAAGATTTATAAAAATATCATTACAAGCACAGGAGGACCAAATTTGTTATTTATTGTTAATTTCCTACTGCATAATAACCCAAAATGCAAACTGACTGCAACAAAATTAAGCAGAAAATTAAATGGCCCTGGGTCATTGTAGGCAAAGAATTCATTCTCTTGGCTGATCCATAGTTATGTTCTTTCTAATTTACTGAGCATGCATCGATGAACCTTGAGTCAGCTTGGTGACACGCGTACAATCAGCAATCAAAAAACGAAGCAATTTGCTGAAGAATGTCTCATTTACCCAGGCAGGCCTGCATATCTGAACAGCAACTGCCACTACCTCCATTAATAATGAATACACCTCAAGCAGTGGCAGATGGGCAAAACAGCAGTTTCTGTCTTTTGGCTCTATCTTGCTTGGCAGTCCTTTGCTTCAAACCACATCAGTTTTCTTCTACATGGGGAGAAGAGGTACTCCCTAAAATAGAAAACCAAACTCTGGAGAGCAAGGGAACTCAGGCCTTCCTGTTTTGCTGACAGATGGCTTGGCTCCACAGATTTGTAACAAATACTGGGAAACTGTTTGCCCTTCTGTTGTGACACATAATGTTCCAAAGAATAAAGTTGCAGAGTGACCACAAACACCAGGGAGAGGTATGCCGTGGTAAGTGAGGTAGAAAGAAAAGTAGAAAATCTTTGTTTGGAGTGTAACACTTCAGGTTTGAGGTCTCGAGAGTCTGTGGTGGACATCTGCTGGCTCTTTGGATAATAAATGTTGTGCTAAGTTAGGTATTCTCAGCACACCTCCAGCATTTAACTCTCCAAGTACTGTACAATGGCAACAACTTGGATGACCTTTCTTTGAAGAAGGCATCTGAGCTCAAGTTCTCTAACCTCTATGAAGGCTTTTTCTTGTCTTGATGCTGAAAAACACCCCTTCTAACAGCCTAACATTCTGGACTTCTAGAAGCCGCCACAGATCACCATAGGCTAACTTTTGTGAGCAGCAAGAGCCAACATACAAAACCCCAGTACAATATTGGGGGCTACAGCAGGCTCGCACAAGTTTGTAACCCGCCATCTTGAGTATGTGACATATATATATATGGGGGGGGGTATAGTCTACTAGAGCTTCAGAACATCCCTGTGGTGCTTGCTGGGCTCAGAGGTTTGTCATTTTGTTGTCTCAAGTATCTGGGAGGCCACAAAACATGCTTTATTTACTTATTTATTTATTTCATTTCTATCTTGCCCTTCTCCCCACAAGGGGACTCAGGGCGGCCTTACATAAGCATCCAATGATGCTATCAACATATACACCAATAAAATTACAATTAAAACAGTAAAATCCATTTAAGACATTATACAATTCAACAAATAAATTCATTTAACAGTAAATTAATGTGCCAATAAAACCAAGCCAAGCCAGAAAATCCAGTGTCGCAATGTCCAAAATTTTTCTTTCCTATTGTCACTGTACTCTAGTCAAACGCCTGGTTCCAGAGCCAGGTCTTCAGTTGTCTTCTAAAGGACAGGAGGGAGGTGGCCAGCCTGATATCCTTAGGGAGGGAGTGCAACAGAAGGGGGGCCACTGCCAAGAAGGCCCTGTCTCGCATCCCCACCAACCGCGTTTGCGAAAGTGGTGGGATCGAGAGCAGGGCCTCCTCTGATCTTAAGCTTCGAATTGGTTCATAGCAGGAGATACGTTCGGACAGGTAATCTGGGTTGTGTGGTTGTATTTGTGCTGGTGGGTCAGACGTAGGATATAGCACTGGAAATGGATTGAGGCAACACATTTGATAGCTGTTGAGCTATAGAGTATATCGGACAACTTATTACTTGGCTTAAAATCACATATTTCCTATGCTAAAATGAAGCTTCAAAGTCATTTGAGGAAGAGGTGATATAACAAACACAATTTAGGCCTAAGGCAGATACACTTCCTTTTAGGAGTAGCCCCCTTTACTATGGTGACCTTTCATCTTTCCTCTGCTGACACACTTGGTCTTGACTTTAGCGTGAGTTCACTAACCTTAACTTGCAAATATTTTCAGTGACTTTGGGAGAAGGTGTGCTTGTCAATGCAAACATTTACTTTGCATTTTAATTTTTGTTAGCTGTATTCCCACCTTCCATCTCAACAATCCTAAGGGCTTTTTTTTAAAAAAAAGATAAATTAATTTTAAAAAGTAGTGAATAGTGCAAGAAGATTTTTTTTTTCAGCATTGCAGTGTGTAATGGCACCAGAACATTTTTAAAACTGTCACATGGAAGGGAATGAATTACTTTTAAAAAGAAACTTCCTGGTTTCTTAAGAAAAACCAGGAGAGGCGAGTATGGGAGTGGCTGTATTAGTGCGGCATGGTTTACTCTTATCAGTTATCTGCTCAGTCAGTGTTGCCAGAGATGCCACCCACCAAAAAGGAAGGCTGAGTTGCTCTCAGGCTTGATTCTTGTTCAAAACAGGTGCTGCAATTTTTGCTACTTTTTTGGTTTTAACATATGTACTGTATTGTTTCATATCAGTTGCCACATGCCAGCATTTAATCTGAAGCTTTGGGATATAAACCAAATAAAATATAAAGAGAAACCACCAAACCGTTTTCCACACAGCTGGCCAGCCCAGTCTCTTTCTCCTACTTCTCCTTTTGGGGAAAGGAAGTATCCAATGTTTCTATCTCAGGCAAGTGGTTGTGGGCTGCTTTCTTTCCAAGGAGGAGAAGGGAACAATAGCGAGGGGCACTGAGGCTGGAAGTGAGAAAGCACCCAGCAGGCAAGTGTCTAAAACAGGAAAGGTGTTTCCTGGCAGGTGGAGGAGGTGGTAACAGGAGTTTTTTTTTCTCCCTCACCCTAATATGCTGCTATAAATTTCCAAGAAACAGTGTAAAATTGCACAGAGAAGCATTAGAAGCAAGGGAACAGCTTATTTTCTTCTTGGTTTGAGAACTTCTGCTTCAAATCTGCTTCATTACTTCATCCTGCTACTCAGAGTCATTGCTAATCCTCACTAGGCACTACCAAGTTCCAATCCATGCTTAGTTCCTAACTTCTGAGTGTGTGTGCTTTCAAACCACCTCTGGTGACTTGATGACTTCCACTGGGTTTTCTTAGGCAAGGAATATACAGAGGTAGTTTTGCTAGCATATAGCACCTAGTATTTATTGGTGGTCTCACATCCAAGTACTAACCAGGGTGCTATGTTGAGAAATTGCCTAAATACTAGTTACCAACAGAGCAAGATCAAATTAGATGTTAATTTGGGTTGTCAGACTGGAAACTGGACAGGGCTCCTGTTCCTTTAATAATTGAGTAAAATGTCTAAGGCCCCTTCCACACTACCCCTATATCCCAGAATTTGATCCTAGATTATCTTTTTATCCCATATTATCTGGCAGTGGAGACTCATATAATCCGGTTTAAAACAGATAATCTAGGCTCTGATCCAGGGATATAGGGCAGTGTAGAAGAGATCTAAGAATATTTCAAACCAATGCTGGGAATGTAAAAAAAGGAGAGCTCCTTCCATATTTGGTAGACTTGTAAGAGGGTAAAAAGGTGTTGGTCTAAGGCCCCTTCTACACTGTATTAAATCCAGATTATCATCTTTGAACTGGATTATCTGGCAGTGTAGACTCATGCAGTCCAGTTCAAAGCAGATATTGTGGATTATCTGCCTTGATATTCTGTATTATATGGCAGTGTAGAAGGGCCCTAAGATATATACGTTAAACCAAAATAATTTAAAAACAAACTTTTGCAATGTCACCAGAAATATTTTTTGCCAGGCATTATGGATAAAGCATTGGATAATAAATATGGACTACTTTTTTGTTAACTTGTAACAACAGCAAGAACACTGTTTGCTCAAACCTAAAAATGGACTGAAGCACCAATGATGGAATTATGCATTGTTAAGGTTGCTTAGTTCCCCAAATTGCCAAATTAATGTGTTTCAAAGGATAAAACAATTGAAGATTTTTTTAAAAGACAAGTAACCATTTATGGGGTTTTTGGGCCAAAAGGCAGCTAATAGTAAAGTAATCTGTAGCTTCACTTACTAGCAATTCTAGTAGGAATATTTAGCTGGATCTATAATGGTGTTTCCCCCCCTTTCATTACATTTATTATGACCTCATTACAGTTTGGATTTTGAGATGTCAGAGCCCTTTTGCATTTGAGCTGTTTAGTGTTTTAGATAGTGTTTTAGTGTTGTGTTTTAGTTTTAATGCGATATATATTCTAGTAATAATCAATGATTCACTTTTACTATAAATACGATTGTTTGGATTAAAATTAATGAAATATTTTTTAATACTTGTGTCAAACAGGGATTTCAGGAGGTATTGCTTGTCATGCAACCTAATTACAAACAACACCTGGTGAAATTCCCTCTTCTATACATCCATTAATGGGACTCATTTTTATCTTGTTCATGTCACTTGTATAGCACCAGCCATGTAGATGTTTTAAATAAATTCCCTGGAAGTTAAGGTGCTTATTATTATTATTATTATTATTATTATTATTATTATTATTATTATTATTATACATTGTATACATTATAACAATATTGTACAGTAACAACTCAAAGTCTAAAAAATTGCCTTATCCCATCCACTCTCCCCAAGTCAAAGAAGTTTACAGACTACTTCCCTGTCAGTCATCTTACTAATAAATTATCCTCTATTTACAGAAAGCCCCGAGTTAGAAACATCCGACTTCAAATGACCCATAGTCAAGAATGAGGGTGATACAACAGGAAGTGGGGGTAACTGACCCCTCGGAAGGGAAAT